AAGCCAGATGCTTGGGGACAATTTGTGTGATTATACTTTTAAAAGTTAACATATTTGATGCTTCATAATATGCCTTATCTCTTGCCATCCATTTAAAGAAAAGGAAGAAAAAAACCCAGAAGGCCATGACTTAATACTTTTCATTCTAAATGGGAAAAAAAAATTTCAAAGAGCATTGCTTTTCAGCAATTTCAATCTAATTTTTCATTTCTAATACAATTATTTAAGAAGGACATAATTTCAAATCGTTCTGTTGGACTTTAGAATAATGTTGAGCTTTGCTGAGAAGCCATGTAAAGGGCAAGAACACAGATTCCAGAGCCAGATCTCGTAGACTCAAAATCAGAGTCTTCCATTTATTTGCAATATGCTGTCCCTTGCCTCACTTTATCATCTGCTGTGGGGTCAACAAGCTCTTTTTGTAAAAGGCATCAGACAGTATACACAGTTTAGGCTTTACAGGCCACATACAGTCTTTTTTTTTTTGAAAATGGAGCTATAGAGCCACATACAGTCTTAACTTTTTTTTTTTTTTTTTTTTTGAGACCAAGTTTCACTCTGTCACCCAGGCTGGAGTGTAGTGGCACAATCTGGGCTCACTGCAACCTCCACCTCTTGGGTTCAAGTGATCCTCATGCCTCAGTCTCCTGCGTAGCTGGGACCACAGGCACGTGCCACCATACCTGGCTAATTTTTGTATTTTTAGTAGAGATGAGATTTCACCATGTTGGCCAGGCTGGTCTTGAACTCCTATCCTCAAGTAATCCGCCTGCTTTGGCCTCCCAAAGTGCTGGGATTACAGACATGAATCACCATGCCTGGCCTAACAACTCTTTAAAAATGTAAAATAAGTATTAATGGCAGTACAAAAACAGGTTAGCAGTTTACTGACACCTGATCTATAGAATAGAGATAATATCTACCTCACAAGGTTCTTAAGACAATTAAATGAATACATGTAAAGTGCTTATTAAGTGTGGGCACACTGTAGAAGCTATGGGTATCATTACTACTCTATTTCTAATCGAATGTTATTTTCAAAATATCTAGTATTCCTGGATGGCTTTTTTTTTTTTTTTGAGATGGAGTCTGATTTTGTCACCCAGGCTGGAGTGCAGTGGTATGATCTAGGCTCACTGCAACCTCTGCCTCCCGGGTTCAAATGATTCTCCTGCCTCAGCCTCCTGAGTAACTGGGATACAGGCATGCACCACCACGCCCAGCTAATTTTGTATTTTTAGTAGAGATAGGGTTTCTCCACGTTGGTCAGGCTGGTCTCGAACCCCTGACTTCAGGTGATCTGCCTGCCTCAGCCTCCCAAAGGTGCTGGGATTACAGGTGTGAGCTACTGCACCTGGCTTCCTGGATGATTTTAGCATTACTTGGTGATTTGAAATTTGGAGACAGATTTTTATCTTTCTTGGTTTATTCTAAATTGGCAGAAAAGCAGTTTAACATAGTATGCTGATGAAACTTCTAAAGGTGGCACTGAAATCAAGTGATTGGAAAAAAGAGCCATAAAGGCTCTGAGGCAGGTGAAGCTGAGGCAGGTGAAGTTGGGCAGGAGCATCAATAAGGAGAAAGATGAAAATGTAGTAACTAAGTAACCTGAAACATTCAATTAAACACAGTAACCACTTCTTAATCATTATAGTATTTCTCTCTAGTCACAGATATATGCAAACCTATTTATCTAGGTGACCTTGAAATACCAGTCATTTACTTTTATTTTTTTATTTTTTATTTATTTTTTTTTTTTGAGACGGAGTTTCGCTCTTGTTACCCAGGCTGGAGTGCAATGGCGCGATCTCGGCTCACGGCAACCTCCGCTTCCTGGGTTCAGGCAATTCTCCTGCCTCAGCCTCCCGAGTAGCTGGGATTACAGGCACGCGCCACCATGCCCAGCTAATTTTTTGTATTTTTGGTAGAGACGGGGTTTCACCATTTTGACCAGGACGGTCTTGATCTCTTGACCTCGTGATCCACCCGCCTCGGCCTCCCAAAGTGCTGGGATTACAGGCTTGAGCCACCGCGCCCGGCCCCCCTACTTTTATTTTTTTTGAGACGAAGTTTTGCTCTTGTTGCCCAGGCTGGAGTGCAATGGTGCGATCTTGGCTCACCGCAACCTCTGCCTCCTGGGTTCAGGCAATTCTTCTGCCTCAGCCTCCTAAGTAGCTGGGATTGCAGGCGCGCACCACCATGCCCAGCTAATTTTTTGTGTTTTTAGTAGAGACGGGGTTTCACCATGTTGACCAGGATGGTCTCGATCTCTTGACCTCGTGATCCACCCGCCTTGGCCTCCCAAAGTGCTGGGATTACAGGCGTGAGCCACCGCGCCCGGCCAGTCATTTACTTTTTTGTACAAAGGGAATAATGAGAAAGCAGAAAATAAGTACAAACTTGTTTAAAATGCAATTGCATTTTAATATACCAGAGTTCTAAGCAAGGTGAGTTTGCCTTAAGTATTGCAACTGACTGCATGTTCGTGTTCTCCAAAAATTTCTGTGCTGAAATTCTAACCCCCTACGTGATGATACGTGATGTATTAGGTGGTGGGGTCTTTGGGAAGAGCAACGTGAAGATGTAATGGGATTAGTGCTCTTATCAAAGGACTCCAGAGAGTTCTCCAGCCCTCTTTTTGGCATGTGAGGATACACGAGGAAGATGGCAGAACCAAGAGGGCTCTCACCAGAACCCAACCATGCTGGCAATCTGACCTGAGACTTCCAGCTCCAGAGCTGAAGAAATAAACTTCTGTTCTTTATAAACCACCCAGTCTACGGTACTTTGTTATGGCAACCTGAAATGACTAAGACAAGTATTATCAAGGGTAACTGCGTGTATCTGTGAAAATCACAACATGATATAAAAACTTATGAAGAAAAAAATACCGTTAACAACCAGGAGACAATTTGTAATTTTGAGCAGAGAGCTTAGAAATGAAAAACAAACATAAAACCCAGAGCTTTTGTGATTTATAAAGCACAGGCTGAATAGGGCCGTATACAAATATTCAAATGCAAAACACGCAAGAGGATAAGTTTCAAACATTTTACAAAGTATCATATTCAAATACAGAGCTTAATGAATTAAACTCTGTAACACAGCAATGTCTAGATATGAAAACTTGCTTCAAGCTTTAATAAAATACATTTTAATCGTACAATATGCTAAGCACAAATGCAGTATCTCAGCTTATTCACACTTATATGGCATCCTGTGACTACATGTTGCCCAACTTACTTCTACATAATCTTTACATGAAAATGTGGAGTAGGGGTAAATGTTTATAGGCTAAAAACTAGATTTTGGAGATCATGAAAACAAAGAAATAGCATACTTCTCTTTCTTGTAAATATTTGCATAGGTATGAGCTACTGTATTTTGTGGAATACCAATTAACTTAGTGTCAAAATAGTTTTAAGGACTTTTATCAAAGTCATTTATGTCCAAAGTTTAAAATTTGAGTAGTGGTAATAGCTTTAAAACAAAACAAAACAAAACAAAACAAAACAAAACAAAACAAAACAAAAACAACATCAACAACAAGCAAAACGGAAAAAGCAGAGCAGTCTCTGACCTTCCCTGTCATACCTGTCCTGGCAGCTCTCCCAAGTGAGAGTCTCTTCGTCATTTAGTTGTTATTCTGGTGGACACATCTGTATTTCTAACGTCTGTCACACTCTTGAATCATCTAACTTAAAACAGACTGCTTGGTACTGAATCCTAGTACCAGACTTACTAGCTTTGTGAACTTTTGGCAAACTACATAACACTTTAAGGCCTCAGTTAACTTATCTTTAAAATGGACATAATAAAACCTACCATATAGGTTTATTGTGAGGATTAAATGATGTAAAATTCTGTATGTGTAAAACCTGCTTATAATATAATGATCATATAGTAGTAACTATGATTACTTTTATTACTTCCTAATCGTAGGTGAGTGAGGATTTGAATCCTCAATCAGCTCTTTCTCCATCCTCCTAAAATAGTTGTAGCATGTAAGTTTTTAAAAAAATTACATTCATTGTTTCCATCATTATGTCCTTTCTGTATCTGCAACTCTAGATTAATGAGATTTTCATTTTGCATCGTCTAAAACAATTTACAAGAGAGATGGTAAGCTAGCTAAGATGCCGAGCCACTGGAATTTTCTGGATAACTTTCAATTTGCCAAATGCCAAATCCCTGGTATTTCTGGACTATGAGAAACTGGAATATAAAACTGTTACTGTAGCTTTATGTGATTTTATTAAAGACTCTGTGAAACGTATGCCCTTACCGCATTTACTATAACATCTTTATTACTCACTCATCATATTTTTACTTTCTGTTTTCACAGCTACGGACATTTGAGATGGTATACATTGTATATTACAGTTTTTCTTTACAAGCAGTGTTTATCAGGACCAACATCATTGCTCTATATGCTGTTTCTCCGTGATTAAAATGAAGGCTTCTATTCAGAGTTCACAATTAGAAGTGGTCTCTGATTTGTGAGAAATGATAATTTGTGTGCCTGAGATGTATCTAAAGAACATTTATGTAGCAGTTCATGTTCATGAAAAAGTTTGGTAAGTCACAATTTATTTTAACAAAGTGCTATGGTATATTGGAGGCATTTAAAAGGAAAAAACAAGTCAGTAAGAATTATTGATCAGTCAAACATTAATTTACTTTATATCTCTTAATGTGAAGATGCAATATTTTCATCCAGCCAATGAAATAAAAGTAGACACTATCCATGAAAAGGTTCTCAAATTATCCCTCATTAAATTTTAAGTTCTCTGAAGATAACGATATGTCTTATTTACCTTGTATCATCACTGCCTAGGACTATGCCTGACTGGTTGTTATAGAGATGTTCAACATACACTGAATAAATAAATTCAGCTTAACTCAGTCTTGGATCATTTGCAAATGCTTGACAGTAAGACACCCGATACCATACTAATACAGCATTACTATTTTCAGCATAAACAAAGCACACTAGTTGGTACATTACATTTTACATTTTATTGATGGTGACACATAGTAAAAATTGAAGGTATATTAATTACCCATGTCCCTTATAAATGTTTAAGGTTATTTTTCACAAGCACAATTCATACTACAAAGTCATAAACTAAATTTATAAAAAAGACAATTAAAAAATAAAATACTTTAAACATATCATAAATCATGAAGGGATGAGATAGCTTGTAACTCTGACTTTTAAACATTCTACATACAATCAACTGTAGATCTTCACTAAGAAGTTGATAATTCTAGGGAGCCCTTTGGAGGGAAGATTTAGTTTTTAAATAATTAATGGCCAGATTAGCATACCTGAAGTCCTATGTTCGTAAAAAACTCAACCAGAGTCCATAAATGCAAGCAGAAAATTATATTCTTAGATGCATGAACGTCTCTTACAAAATGTAAAGTATTCTGTTTGCCTTCGACAGATGCCTTGAACTGAACGTTGCTGAGGGTTCCAACTATTATCTTTTCATGTCTTCACAGCCTGGATCTGATCTGACAACAAAAAACAAACAACAATTATCAATCTTTATAGGGCAAATCTATTTTCTAAAGTAATCTGAGACAGATCTATACAACACGTTGGAAGCTTATCTATACATTTGCTTTTGTTGTTATGATTTTTTAGAGATAGGATCTTACTCTGTGGCCCAGGCTGTACTGTAACTTCTGGGGTCAAGTGGTCCTCCCACCTTCACCCTCTACCAGCTTCATCTCCCTTCCTCCCTTTCAGGCGCAACTATTTGTAACTCCCTTTTATGTAAATACTTATAACACTTCTTCAAATATCAGTTCCTTCAACGTAATATGAGACATCGGCTCTCTCACATTCCCAGGGCGCTCCTGGGCAACCCTCATAATACTTCTAATAGCCCTGTTCTCCTAACGTAGTAATGTAGTCATTGTCAATATGACGACTATGTGAACTCACAGCTAAGACAGGTGGCAGACTCTGATTACTTTCCCTTTCCTCTTCTACATTTTATCCCTCCTAGAGTTAATAATCGTCTTTCCCACTCCCATCCAACTCATCTGTTTAATTGTCGTATGTATTTAACACTAATTCAATTGCGCTACTCCCATAGTTTAAACCTTTATTACTATGAAATACATTACGTAGTCTATCAATTTCACCTTCCTGAAGAACTCCTCCATAGTCTTATACAACTCTCAAATCTACACTCATTTTTCTCTACACCTGCCACAGTCATTCTGTTATAAAGTCTTCTTTCATTATCATTCTAGGGCCTCCATTAATATCCTGGGGATTCCTTCCCCTACTCTCTTGTGCTGGTTTTCCTGTCTCGTGATCCCTTATTTTTCTCTGTTGGTTTGTTTGATAATGCTGGTACCTAGATATTCCTGTTTGTGAAAAATATTCTTCTCAGAGTCTACCTTAGTTAAAAGCATAGAAACTAAATTCTTGAGATGTTATATATCTTTCTAAAAAGCCCCTTTATTGTTAGTGAGAGCTGGGGAGGCAATGAAACTAAGTGTACTTGATCAATCCTCTTTCATTGGAATACTCCTGCATAGTTTGTAAGTCTAATATTAACATCTAAGAGTATTATTAACTTTTTCCATGCACAGAAAGCCATAAATTGAATACACTTTATTAGTAATATGGGAAGATTTCTTTTTAAAAATACCTAATTTGAAAGTTTCAGGGCAAGAAAACTTACAGTTCTGCAGTAGTTTCTGTTTATTCTCTGACAGTTCCTAGTCTAATTAGGCATTCCTGTTTTTGGGTTGTTCTAGATACACAATTATTGAGACTGTTTTCAAAGACAATAGAATCATACCATTAAGTGTCCATTTAATATTTCACCAAAAAGCTTTTAACCCTAAACTTAATTTAAAAAAATTTTTTGAGACAGTCTTGCTGTGTCACTCAGTCTGAGTGCAACAGCAGGATCTTGACTCACTGCAACCTCTACCTCCAGGGTTTCTGCCTCAGCCTCACAAGTAGCTGGGACTACAGGTATGCACCACCATGCCTGACTAATTTGCTATAATTTTAGTAGAGATAGGGTTTCACTATGCTGGCCAGGCTGGTCTCGAAATCCTGTCCTCAAGTGATCTGTCCACCTTGGCCTCCCAAAATGCCAGGATGAGACACCGCTCCTGGCCCCAACCTCAAACTTTGTAAATAATAAGATTAAATTAGCCCCAAATGAACCAAAGGCCTTCTTATTTATCATACTATGAAATTTCAGAATTCTGGAAGCAAAATGAGATATTCACAGCTAGATTCACATAAATGTCTTTGGCTAACACAAACATATCTCCTACATTTACTGCTATTTGTCTTTTAAAAAGATTTTTATCTCTTTTCAAATCTAGAGAGAGTTGGGAATATGACAATGTAAACTATTTGTTATTACACAGAAAATATAACCAAACCAGCTGGGCATGCTGGCTCATACCTGTAATCCCAGCACTTTGGGAGGCCAAGACGGACAGATTACCTGAGGTCAGGAGCTTGAGACCAGCCTGTCCAACAAGGCAAAACCCTGTCTCTACTAAAAAATACAAAAAATTAGTTGGGCGTGGTGGTGTGTGCTTGCAATCCCAGTTACTTGGGAAGCTGAGGCAGAAGAATCTCTTGAACCCAGGAGGCGGAAGTTGCAATGAGCTGAGATCAAGCCACTGCACTACAGCCTAGGTGACAAGAGTGAAAGTCCATCTCAAAAAAAGAAAAAGAAAAGAAAATGCAACCAAAGCATCTCCTATTTGAAACCAAATGATACACTTTTTAATCCTGTGGACTTAGTTTCTTCCTTTGTTAAACAGGGTGTTTAGGTAAAAGAGTAAATTTTACATTTGTGGGGTGCTTTCTTATGCAAGGTACTTTAACAGTGTCTAATTTAATCTGTATAAAATTTAACATATTTTATTTTTAAAATTTTACAGATTAAGAAAAACTTCACAAGATAAAAGATGTCAGCTAATAGAGAGGTTAATTAGTAAGTAGTAGAGGCCTGTGTGGTGGCTCACACCTGTAATCCCAGCACTTTGGGAGGCTGAGGCGGGGCGGATCACGAGGTGAGGAGATCGAGCGTGGAGAAACCTTGTCTCCATTAAAAATACAAAAAATAATTAGCCGGGTGTGGTGGAGGGCACCTGTAGTCCCAGCTATTCGGGAGGCTGAGGCAGGAGAATCGCTTGAACCTGGGAGGTGGCGGTTGCAGTGAGCTGAGACTGGGCCACTGCACTCCAGCCTGGTGACGGAGACTCCGTCTCAAAAAAAAAAAAGGTAGTAGAATAAATATGCTGGACTCAAAAGCCCAAGTTTTTTTGCTGTTTGTTTGTATTTTTTGCTTTTCTTTTTTTTCACTATTAGTTAGTGCTTCTTATATAAAATAGAGGTACTACTGCTTACCCTGCAGAAAATTGTTAAGGATACATAAAGTAATATGGGAAAACAAGTACACAAAAGTATTTCCAACAATGTGTCCTCCTTATAGAGACTTGGGAGGTAAGACAGATAATGATGGATCAGAAAAGTCAAAGAAACAAAAATTAGGCATCAAGACCAGCGTAGGCAATCAGTACCGTGATGCTGGATTGCTACTGACACCTAGTGGCCTTCTGCTGAGAATAAAATAAAACCAGTAAAAAGAAGGGATGGGGAACTACACGTTACAATCCGGAAGACTAGCAACCTATTTTCAGTAAAGACTGCGCTCTGAATTACTTTATTATGAGTGTCAGCAGAGTTTCCATCCATGCTGTATCTTCATTGCTAGCAATGGTAAGTACTCTGTAAAATATAAAACGAGGCTGAAAACATACTCTTGGTATCTTCTCTGGAATACTCCTCTGTAACCTATCTGTTTCTGGTGGAAATCCATCCCACTGCCCTGAACACTTTTTTTTTTTTTTGAGATGGAGCTTCGCTCTTGTTACCCAGACTGGAGTGCAGTGGCGCGATCTCGGCTCACCGCAACCTCCGCCTACTGGGTTCAAGCAATTCTCCTGCCTCAGCCTCCCAAGTAGCTGGGACTACAGGCACGCACCACCATGCCCAGCTAATTTTTGTATTTTTTTTAGTAGAGACGGGGTTTCACCATGTTGACCAGAATGGTCAGGATCTCTTGACCTCGTGATCCACCCGCCTCGGCCTCCCAAAGTGCTGGGATTACAGGCGTGAGCCACTGCGCCCGGCCCCCTGAACACTTCTTTACTGCAGTCTAAGAAACTAAGTTGTTGGGTTCACAGAAAAATCCTGCTAGTTCTTCTGAGAATGAATGACTAGTGGTTTTCGATTAAGTTTCACTAATTGTAAAATATGACTTGAATGTTCCTTGCAGTTTAATGGTGTCGTAACTACATAAATATAAAAAGACATGGACATACAATAGTCTGTCTAGTCAACTAAACCACCATATTTTACCAATGACACATACAAATATTTATGAAATGCACATTTAGTACTTTGAACCAAAGAAATACTATGATGTAGGAGCAGTCAGGCTACTCTTAGATCTGCCATGATATGTGCTATATCCCTGCTATTGTTTCCAACATGCAGAAGATTAAAAAATCACACCCAACTGGCATTAAAAGGTTTGTGTAGAAGAACCTGTAACTATGAGACTATAGCTAGAATTTATACTATCCTATTATTCATTCTTGTTCAGGGCAGAGACATTCCTGATCGAAATTATCTTTAGCTGTTATGCTCTGAACTGGAATTTCTGACCTGGCCAGTAAGAACCTATGAACTCGGTTTCATTCACTTCTATCTACTGCTCTGTCTGCTTCAAGCCGTTCCTTTGGGTGAGAGACCATTAGGATAAATAATATATGCTAATTTATTCCCTAATATCATAAGCTTGTACCAATCTATGATAACTATTGATGAATAGCAACCAGAACTGTAAATACACAAAATCCCAATAAAAGATCAGTATCTAGAATGCTAAATATGAGTATTACAAGTTATATGTACACGCTATGTATCAATGGAGCTACATATGTAGCACGGCATGATTCTTAAAAGATACACGTCATTCAGACTTATTTTTAGTTACTGACAGCAAGGCCTAACATTTGTCCCAAAATTTTTAATGTGCCTCTGTTATTCAATCTGACAGACACTTGTTACTATGTTTAAATTATTTTCTATTTGTGCCATATATATTGACTGTAAATATTCAAACACTTTATGTAAATAAATCCTTTCGCAATATACAACATAAGTAAATGGAACGAGGTACGGATACTTACTGTATTGTTTTTTCTGACAGCAGAAATAAATGGAAACAAGAGGAAAAAAGGCAATGATATAAAAATAAAATGAAAAAAAGATGAAAACATGCATGAAAGGAAACAAAGGCTGAAGACACACAGTCTGTGAGGTACCTTGAAGCCAGTATACACCTTCCTGCAATCCTTCCCCTTTTATGGCATCACTAGCGCTGAAACGAAATCCAGAGGAAACACATCCATCTCATTACATCATAAAACTGTAAGAATAAAGGCTTACAATTTTGCCATATGGAGAATTAGGAAATTCTAGTAACATATATCTGAGCAAAACTGGTTAAGCACTGAAATTGAAAATAAACAGATGATAAAAATCTTAGTGGAAGATACGTTTATAATTTATAAACAGATTTTGAAAAGCATATTGCTAAAAAGTTATTTCATCCTAGGACTAATTCTTAGACTGACATTAACAAAACATACACTTTGAGTTATTCATCCAGGGGTAGAAGTTTTGTGTAGTCCACTGTCCTACACTGCTCAGTTCCAGTGGTCCAATCACCTTATTAGAAATGCTTGACTTGGGTTATAACACGGCTGTATGATGGCACTGCTTTATTTGAAAAGGAATTGGACTATCTTTAGGATAAAAACCCGTTAATTACAGCTTTGATAAGATGGTAGCACAAAACAAAACTCGGTAGATCTCAACCATTTTCTTATGAGCTGAGGGAGCTCGGCGAGGTCACTGAACTCCTCTGTCTTCAGTTTTAGCATCTGTAAAATGGGGCAATAGTACCACTGGCCTTATATGGTAATTGTGAGAATTAAATATTTGAGGTATGATTATAAAACTCCTAAAACAGGTGCTTCCATTGTCTTTCCATTCTTGAGAGTCTAAACTTAAATTCTTATTGTGAGATTTCATAATCATAATTAAGTAGATAAATGAATAAAATACAGAGAACTTTTGAAGTATCAGATAATCTTTTTTAAAGATACAGATAGTTTCTTATAACATGTTATTGATCTAGTCATTTATTTTCAAAATATGATTGTATCATAGCAATTAATATATCCAATTAAATTTCCTAATGATTAGGGTTCCTTTTAGTGTGCTGAAGCGTGAATTTAAAAAGTATAGTGAAGCACCAAAAAGAATTAACTTGATTCTAATCAAAATAAAAATCATCTCCAAGAAATTCCTTGGTATACTAAGAATATGGCTTATCACAGAATTGTTATAAAACACAAAGAAAGAAACAACATGAGATACACAATTATTCAAAGTAAATTACTGAGTATCCATGGCAAGAGTAAAACATCAGTAACTGAAACACTTACGAAAGATCAAGATCCTAATTTTATCATATACCCATAGTTCCACACAATTAATACAACAAAACCTTTCTCCTCTGTGTAGGTGTCATTACCCTACTAAAAACTTCATCTTTTCCTAACAAATGTCTGCATTCTATCTTTCCTCTCAGATAAATAAGAATTAAGCAGAAATCTTGGCCCTGTGTGATATGTCCCCCGGGTGATTTCTTAGTGGCCTCATTTCCTACAATTTCCCCTTAGATTGCTCTGCTGTAGCCAACCTGGACTTCTTGCTGCTCCTGGAACACGCCAGGTACATTCTCAACCAAGAAGACCCTTTTTCTTGCTGGCCTCTCTATTGGATAATTAATCCTCCAAACCATCATATGAATTGCTCCCTAACTTCAATTAGGTCTCAGAGAGGGAGGAACTCCCATTATTCTTTCTCTTATTATCACACTTTATTTTTCCTCATTCTCCCAGTGGATATTTTATACATTTATTTGCTTATTATCTGTCTCCCACACAAGATGGTAAACAAGGGTACATACACATGTGCACGTGCACGCGCACACACACACACACAATCATGATGCCGGGGACTGAGTCGAAGAACACATCTGAAGAGGATTAATACAATCAGACTCTGAAAATCTGAGCTGACTATATGTTTAGTACAATGGTCAAACACAAAACATAAAATTTTTCTTTAATTAATTGGGCTAGACTTCTCTATGATATTCTCTTTATTGCTCAGTAAATTTACTTGTATGCAAGGCAGGAGATAGATAATATTTTACCTATGATTCACTGAGCATCAACTTTTTATTTAAAATAGAAAAAGGACAAATATATTTTCCATTTTATACATGTTTTTAAAAACATTGCCAAAAATAAAGAACAAACCGAATAAATGAGAAACTAATTTGAACCTAGTGAGGAGAGGTCAAATTTGAATGATGGATAAGTCAGAAATACACACATGTTTAAAAGAAATAGTTGGCAGCAGTCTTTTATAAGTTATTCAGAAAATCTAGCAACTGGCTATATACTAACATTCTACATCCTTATAAGTATCAGGATATTACTTTTTTTCTCACAGAGAAACACTGAGATGTCACAATTGAATAAATAAATCTGTTAAAAATTAATGGTTAATTATTTAAAGTAGAAAAGAGGGTTGTTTACTAGTTAGATCCATGTTTTTAAACATGTACTTTCTACAACACAATCACAATACTTAATACAACACAAAATTTAGAAGTAATCAATTTAGGTATTATTTAGAGAAATAATAAAGGTTCTATCTCAAGACGTTTCTTTTTCCAAAATCCCGCCTGTCTTTACTTACTAAATACCACAGAACCTCAAATTCCAACTCAAGAATCATTTGTTAGACACTGACTTTTCCTCTGATCCTAAAGAAAGGATTGTTTTACTTGGGATATGCAGGGTTTTGCTCCTGGAAAAGAAGTGCCGGAGGCTTTGAATACTGCAAAGTTTCAAGGGCTTTCCTAAGGTCTCTACTATTACTCTTTCAGCACCAAAACTAGTTCCTAAAGTTGCTTTCTGAACTCTGTTACCTCCTTTCTTCATATTCTAGGTCACCTTCTATCACAGTGGATCTCTCTGCTTCTGTGTCCAATCTTTCCCCACAGACATCTTCTTAAAAAAAGGGGGAAACTCTGGCATGGAAAGGACCTCTTACAGCAGAGAGAGGTAGGTGGGTGGGTAGAAGGGAGTTTAATATGATAGTGGTAGGCACTAAAATACTGCCTAATATATCTGTTTATCCTTGTTAGAATATTTCGTTAGAAAGGCACGCTGGAGTTAAATAAGAAACTGTTGTCCAAATAAGCAATGCATACTAATTTTCACACTAATTAGAGTTTAACCTTATTAGGATGTCTAAATAAAATCAAGGTTTCCATTTCCATTTATTAATTTTAACAAATATATATTCTGTACCTATTGCACACCAGGTACTCTGACTACTGTAGGGTTTGTTAAAGTGAAGAAAACTGACAAAACCGCAGACGTCAGGGAGCTAACACCCCTGTGTAGGCAGACAGACTACACCCCCCCCAAAAAAAAGCAGTCATATGGTAATAGTGACTCTAGCAGGCCAGGAAAATTATTTTGGAAAATGATTCAAAGGAGGAGGACAGTGCAAATGCCCTGAGAGGGGAGTGTGCTTGGCTGACTCCATGCGCAGAAGGAAAGGAGTGTAGCTGAAGTCAGCCAGTAAGTGAGCTTCTCAGTTATTCCATACAACATTTGAAATTTTCAACAACAATAAATATATTTGTAAACACCTACAATGCCACAATTCTATGAAACAAAATCCTCAGCTTAAATCCCACGATGTTTGATCACTGAAAAATGAGGCCAGAAGAAACAACTCTGAAGTTTGTATTTTTTCGAAAGATACGATGAAAAGTAAATATAAAACTTTACCAAATATGCCAGGGCTTATCCTTGATGTTCTCTAAACACAGCAATTGAGACACTTTTACAGATGTCAGTGCATCTCTAAGATCCATTTTATTTGCAAAGAATAAGATTGGAATTCGACGGTGCTTAATATCTAAAAGAGAAAATAAGACTATCATCACACGTCCAGATTTTTAGGTCACTTTGTAGTAAATCCTTAGTACTGAAATCCATGAAATTGTTTTTCAATAATTCTTTTTCCATATCACACATATAGAAATATTTAAAGACACATACGGTCACACTGTTAGGCATGTATTTGAGCAATAAGAAAAATTTAAAAATACTTCTTCCTAAGATCATCTGTCCTCTGGTTAGGAGCTTTAACCAAAGATGGGTTAGGTGGGACTCGGGGGCTTAATAAGCATTACAGAGCAGTACCAAAAAAAAAGGGTTAAATATTTTGTTTGTTTTCTTTTAAATTGTGAAAGGAAAGAGGCAAACTTCAAGTAGAAGTAGAAGGAAGAGAAACTGGAACCTTATTTACGTTTTTAGTCATAATAAAATAAGTAACAAGCTAGATTTTTTAACAAGATGTTTTTACCTTGTCATGATTTTGGAAACATTTTTAATTTTTTTGAATAGATAATACATTTAAATAGTTCAACATTCAGAAGATACAAAATGGTATACAGTAAAAGAATCTCCTTCCTGGCCGGGCAGGTGGCTCAAGCCTGTAATCCCAGAACTTTGGGAGGCTAAGGCGGGTGGATCACAATGTCAAAAGATCGAGACCATCCTGGTCAACATGGTGAAACCCCGTCTCTACTAAAAATACAAAAAATTAGCTGGGCGTGGTGGCGCGTGCCTGTAATCCCAGCTACTCGGGAGGCTGAGGCAGGAGAATTGCCTGAACCCAGGAGGCGGAGGTTGCAGTGAGCCGATATCGCGCCACTGCACTCCAGCCTGGGTAACAACAGCGAAACTCCGTCTCAAAAAAAAAAAAAAAAAAAAAAGAATGAGGTGTTTCTACTCCCCTAGCCAAAAGAGTGCTATAAAACTTTTCGATATTTTCCATATCATAGGTGATAGAATCTTCCCACATATTCAAAAGATGTTTAAATTTACTTTTTTGTTGACTTATCTTGTTATGTCCTTTCTGCATTTTCTATTAAGTGTTATGTTCTTATTGCTTTTTAGGAGCACATGTAGCATAGAAATAGCCCTTAGCTATGATATGACTTGCAGATATTTTCCCTTGCCTATCATTGTCTTTATCTGTTCATAGTACATTTTGCTATTCAAAGATTTTTTATACCCTTCAATTTTTTTTTTTTTTTAAATGAGATGGAGTCTTGCTCTGTTGCCAGGCTGGAGTGCAGTGGCACAATCTCGGCTCACTGCAACATCCGCTTCCTGGGTTCAAATGATTCTCCTGCCTCAGTCTCCCGAGCAGCTGGGACCACAGGTGTGCGCCGCCATGCCCGGCTAATTCTTTGTATTTTTTAGTATAGATGGGGTTTCACCATGTTAGCCAAGATGGTCTCGATCTCCTGACCTCTTGATCCACCTGCCTCAGCCTCCCAAAGTGTTGGGATTACAGGTGTGAGCTACCACACCTGGCCTTCAATTTTTAAAAAACGTTCATATACACTTGAGCTGAGAAATCCCTGCCTTGGAAATCTATCATAAAATAAAGAAGTAGTACATTAAGATTCACAGACAGACAAGGTTTCAGTCGAGGAAACCAGGGTTCCCATTGTTTGAAGAATATTTTGGAGGTACTATTTCATTGTACTGGTCAACATTCTAATGCTTTTTAGGGAAAAAACTGGAAAGATCAATACAAAAGGAAGACATAATCAAAAATGCATTCTCAATCTAGATGTAAGACTGCTTTCCTGTTTGTTTGTTTGTTTTGAGACAGAGTCTCACTTTGTTGCCCAGGCTGGAGTACAGTGGTGCTATCTCGGCTCACTACAACCTCCACCTCTTAGGTTCAGGCAATTCTCCTGCTACAGCTTCCCGAGCAGCTCACGCCTGGCTAATTTTTGTATTTTTAGTAGAGACAGGGTTTCACCATGTTGGCCAGGTTGGTCTCGAACTCCTGACCTCAAGTGATCCACCCGCCTGCAATCATCCCAAAGTGCTAGGATTACAGGTGTGAGCTACTGCGTCTGGCCAAGACTGCTAGGTTTTAAACATGAAAAAGTTACGTAAATGGTACAGGCTGGATATTTTTTTTTTTTTTTTAATTTGAACAAGCTTGAGGTCATCTTTTAAAAATACCAGAGAATTGTGGTTAAGCAGTAAAATTTATTAGAAAGCCCCACACTATTTCCATTCCATTTCTAAAAAGTCCACAGTTCTCTTAAACCACCATCCTTTTCTGAAAGTCCTAGAACAAGCACTATTTCAATTGTTTTGACATGAGGAAGGCGAGGAATGCAGAGTTTTACAATACTTACTGGAGCACTGTTTGTAGTGGGGGGTTTGGTGGGGAGGAAAGTATTCAACAAGTGAGTGATTAAATAAACTGTGGTACATTCATAGTAAACCATGTTAGGTATCATTAAAAAGAATAATTACATATAATTTGATTTGGGAGGATATCTATCATTAAGTATTAATTGAGAATGGAAACATGCAGAAGAGTGTAAAGATTATGATTCAATTTTGGTAAATAACAATGACAGTCACCACATCCCTCAGCCCTACAGATAATTTTGGTGTCTCTCTCTCTCTCTATGTATATGTGTGTGTCTGTGTGTGTGTGTGACATATATAAAAGAAGAAAAGAAAACATACCTAAACACCTGTATCTTGAAGGAGATGGGGATCTGGCATTTGGAGATTAACATAAAAAAGATTTGTTTTAAAGGAGTTCCCACAATAAATACGTAAGAAATGCTGTGATTAAACACACACACAAACTCAGATATACATAGAGAAATGCGTGAAAAGATAAAAAAATAAATGGTTATTGAAAGATACAGATTTTTATTTTTCTGTCTTATTTTGTTTTGCTACTGGCACAAATTATTTATTTAATCAGTAAAAAAGAGCATTTTAATATTTGAGGAAATAAATTTTAGAGACCCCAAAAACACTGCGAAATGCTCTTCATTTACATTATAATGCAAAATTTACAAAATACGGTGATATACATAAAATATTATAAATTCTGTATCATGTATATGTTTTAAAATCAAAAATTTTAAATGAAAGATAATTACATAGTGTAAGCAATACTCAAAGAACAAAACATTACACATAACCGAACCCCAAGGACAGACACAGCCTGAAAGACACACACATACCTGGATGATTCAGAAGAGTATCGAGTTCTTCTTTGGCCACAACCATTCTTAATCTATCACTACTATCAACGACAAAAATAATAGCTTGACCTTCTCTGTGTAATGTAAAGAAAAAGAAAAATTAAGACTATACTTACAAATTTTTCCATGTTTATTATGTGCATTTCTTAACCTAAGTATTATCTCTTTACGTCCTATCTGCATTTATCATTAGAGGTTTTGGTGTTATTTCTTATTAGTTTATGTGACTGATAAATATATAAACTGTTAGTCATATTTTATGTAAAATACCTTCTCATTCAGATAATAAAATTAATGACTTGCCCTTTCATAATTTTAAAAAATTATGAGTAATTTTTTATAAAATATCAGAATATGAAAAAATGAATTAAAATACCATAGCCCTATTACACAGACATAATCAGTATTAATATTTTGGTACAAATGTATACTTTGTATATATTACGTGTGAATAAACTATATATGTATTTAAAATAGAATCCTGTTTTATACCTTGCTTTTGTAATATATATGTAAATTTCCTTCATTTTTTTCTTTACTACCATGGTTTTACTATTTTTATACGAAACACTAAAGCACTACATCAATGTTTCTCAAATTTTTTTTACCATAAACCATAGTGAGAAATATATTTTGCATTAAGATACAGTAGACACACAAATATATATATATACTTTTAAAAAATTTTTTCTAAAATGTTTTACATTTAGTAAAAACATGCAAAAAATTACATCAACTCATTAATAATCCACTTACAAATATTATTAAATATTTTATTTTCAACCATTTCTATTTAATTAGAGAAAATAGTAAGTTATTAAAAATATACTAAAATATGACTATGACAGACACACACACACACACACACACACACACACACACACACAGAGTCACTTTTCCTTTTTGACAAGAGGACAGAAAGCCATCAGAAGGACAGGTCTGCAGAGGGGCAGTTTTCATGAACCAATGATGGCGTGCTGATAATGGAAGCAGCTAGCAAAGCATGGAGAAAAGTAATCCATGGTAACCACATTTTATGGATCTACAACTTGAAGATGCGGTTTATGATCACCTGAAGCCTCATCTTCTATTATTTCCCTGTCCTTCTCAGGTTTTTATTCCAAGTTTCTATTTTCAGATTCTTGAAAGTCTCATATGATTTCCTGCCTCTGCACCTTTGCAATTGCTGTTTTCTCTTGCTAGAATCCCCAGAATTGGTATCAGTTTTGCAAGCAAAATTTGGAATAATAGCTTTCTCTGGCTGGCATAGCTTATAAAAGATTATTTAATTAATTTATTTTTTTTGGTACTCCACATTTTCTACCCCTATTTTTTTTTTGTATATGTTACCTTTACAATCAGAATACAGATTTTATTTTATTTATTTTTGAGGCCCAGGCTGGAATGCAATGGCCCAATTATAGCTCACTGCAGCCTCAATCTCCTAGGTTGAAGTGATCCTCCTGCCTCATCCTCCTGAGTAGGTGGGACTACAGGCACACCATCATGCCTGGCTAATTTAAAAAAAAAATTTGGGCCGGGCGCAGTGGCTCATGCCTGTAACCCAGCACCTTGGGGGCCAAGGTGGGCAAATCATAAGATCAAGAGATCGAGACCATCCTGGCCAACCTGGCCAACATAGTGAAACCCCATCTCCACTAAAACAAATACAAAAATTAGCTAGATGTGGTGGTGGGCACCTGTAATCCCAGCTACTTGGGAGGCTGAGGCAGGAGAATCACTTGAACCCAGGAGGCGGGGGCTGCAGTGAGCTGTGATTGTGTCACTGCACTCCAGTCTGGGCAACAGAGTGAGACTTCATTGCAAAAAAAATTGAATACAGACAAGATCTCGTTATGTTGTGCAGGCTGGTCTCCAACTCCTGAGCTTAAGCGATCCTCCCACCTCAGCCTCCCAAAATGCTAGGATTACAGGTTGAGCCACCACACCCGGCCCAGATGTTATTTGTTTGCTTATACACATCACCTACATTTTCATGTGGTTTGACAGACTGGCGGAAGAAAAAGCTTGCTTGAAAAGTCCATTTTGTCTTAATCTCATAGTGGCAAACTGAATTAAATATGAAGCTCAGATCTTGAAAGTTCAGCATGTACATAGCTGTTCACTGTGCTTTATTAGTTTTCTTTTACTTAGCCTTTACGCTAAGCATCCTTTATTTTAGCATTTCCCCACATAGCACCTTTCTGAGAATTACTTGCTTAACAAAAATTAACTGCCTGCTCCTTATATTTCCTTTTTTTACTAGTACATTTTAAATTCTGGCATACATGTGCACAGCGTGCAAGTTTGTTACATAGGTATACACGTGCCATGGTGGTTTACTGCACCCATCAACCCCTGTGCTACATTAGGAACGCTTTTACACTGTTGGTGGGACTGTAAATTAGTCCAATCATGGTGGAAGATGGTGTGGCGATTCCTCAAGGATCTAGAACTAGAAATACCCAGCAATCCCATTACTGAGTATATACTCAAAGGATTATAAATCATTCTACTTTAAAGACACATACACATGTATGTTTATTGCATCACTGTTCAGGATAGCAAAGACTTAGAGCCAACCTAGATACCCATCAATGATAGACTAGATAAAGAAAATGTGGCACATCTACATCATGGAATACTATGCAGCCATAAAAAAGATAGTTCATGTCCTCTGCAGGGACACAGATGAAGCTGGAGACCTTCATTCTCAGCAAACTAACACAGGAATGGAACAGAAAACCAAACACCACATGTTCTTACTCTTAAGTGGGAATTGAACAGTAAGAACATATGGGCACATGGAGGGGAACATCACACACCAGGGCCTTTTGGAAGGTGGGGGGCTAAAGAAGGGATAGCATTAGGAGAAATGTAGATATATATTAAGTGAAAGTCTTCTGAAAAAATACTTACAAATAGCTTTTATTTTATTCTATTTGATTTTTAAAAAGCTGATAGCCAGTGATTGAACTAGTTTAAGGGTTCACTGATGGATCATACCAGCACTTGAAAAATTATTAATTATTCCTCTGCACCATCTTCTTTGCACTGCATGAATGTGTCATCAAATATTGTGTGAAACAATTGTTGCTGGACTTTTAGGTTATTTCCAATTTTCATCATTAGGAAAAACTTTAGGGCAAATATTCTCCTAGAGATACCTCTATTTTAAAAGTTCTTGATGCTTTAAGATTTATTCTTAGGAATAACAATTCTAGGACTACATATATAATGTAAAGTTTTGAAAAAACATTTGCAAACCGTCCTCCAGAAATGCTTATCAATTTACATGACTCAGAACTTCTGTCATTCCTTTGCCAGCACTGGCTATTACTGTTCTTTTCAATATTTGCCATTCTAATAGCATATTATCTTCATGTAGGTCATTAATTGTCTGTGAGGTTCAATATTTTTTCATATATTTATTGGATATCTGTGCTTTTTTTGCAAATCACTTATTCTATTATAAATTAAGATTTTAAGCTTCAATGTAATTAATAAATGAATATAAAAATAAAACTTTTTATATATCATTTTCTCTTATCATTGAAAAAGGATAATGCAGAGTATCACAGATATATATTATCAAATCAGAACAGTCAGAAATATCTATCAAGATCTATAAAAACATATATTACCATATATATAGAAATCAGAACAGTCAGAAATATCTATCAAGATCTATAAAATGTTCAATCACTGAGCCAGGGATTTTATTTCTGAAATTCACTGTAAGGAATCATGACCTGGGGCTAGGATTTACACAACAAGCTTTTGACTGAAGGACTGTTTACTGTCTCCATATGTAAGCCTGGAACCTGAAAGTCTGAAGCCCAGCCCGCGCTATCGCGTTTGCCATCGCCCCTAATCACTCAGTGGAGCTTCCCTGGACAAGCCTCTCACCTCATCCTGCCATGTTAACTGTTCTTACGACAAATGTGAATACCTCTCACCCCACCTGCCATCTTAACTGTTCTTATGATAATGTGAACACCTCTCACCCCACCTGCCATCTTAACTGTTCTTATGGTAATGTGAACACCTCTCACCCCACCTGCCATCTTAACTGTTCTTATGGTAATGTGAACACCTCTCACCCCACCTGCCATCTTACCTGTTCTTATGATAATGTGAATACCTCTAACCCATCCTGCCATCTTACCTGTTCTTATGATAATGTGAATACCTCTCACCCATCCTGCCATCTTAACTGTTCTTATGATAATGTGAATACCTCTCACCCATCCTGCCATCTTAACCTCTCTTCTGCCTTACCTGACCCACCACTGTAACTGAACTTCTGGTCATGTATACTCCTTGCCCCTACCCCCACCATGGTAACTGATCTTACTCTGCAACACCCCCACCCCCCAAAATTACCCCAACCTATAAAACCGATTCCCACCCTGACTCCCTTTGCTTGTCCTTTCTTGGATTCAGCCCGCTTGCACCCAAACGAGAAGTAAAACGGCCTTGTTGCCCACACAAAGCCTGTTTGGAAGATCTCTTTATTAAATGCAGTTAATATTTGGTACTATTGGACACAAATAACATTTACAGTTTTCAAAAACTGAGATAGCCTTCACGTCTTAGAGTACAGAAATGGTTAAAGAAATTTTGGCAAAGCTGCGGCCGTTAGTTATACTCATTGCATGCTTTTCTTGATTTCCCCATACCACAGAATGCTAACTGAAAAAAGCAAGATACAAAATTATACATGGAACATAATTTAGATGGTTCCTTTTCCCTTAGTTATATAAAGTATATATTAAATATTTCAAAAAAGAAGAAACATACCAAAAAGATTGACAATGGTGAATTTATGAATAGTGAGATTTATCGGAAACATGTTTTCAATATTCTCTTCTGTATTCTCCAAATTTAAAAAATGTGCACTCCTTATATTTTTGGATGCTATTACCTTATTATATTGTAAAAATAATATGCAAACATTACATAATATTTAACATTATAGAATCACATAGAGTAGAAAGTAAATGTCTCTCTTCACCAAAGAGGATGTGAAAAACAAAAAAAGTAAACTTCTCTTATAATCCCACGATTCCAAGAATGAACGCTACTAATGGTTTGGTGCATATCCCACTAACACTTTTCTTCTTTCTATATACACCAAGCACATACTTATAGTAAAGACAAATATTTACAGTAACATTTTTACATAATTGGTATAAAAATGTTTTAAATAATACTAACATATATCCTTCTATGTATATTTTTGCCCATAAGTCCTGGTCATAGAATACTTTTCTAAAAGTAAAAATGCTTGCTGGAGGTTATGAACATTTTTCATTTTAACGGGTATCAATAAGTTACCCTCAAAAAGATACTACATTCTCACAGGAGTGGCTCATTTTGACAAGAGTACACTTTACTAATCTTTGTAACCTTTTTCACTCTAATAGATCAAAATGTACTTTTTTTTTTCACAGTTAGAAAAATATGGAAGTAGGGAAAGTAAATTTAGTTTTATTGTTGATTTTTCAATAGCAATCATATTTTCCATTCAATCTACAATGTAACCATACTATTCTAGAATTCATAAATTTCTTCCGAAAACAGCATGAAGAAAAAAGAAGTTAAAATCAAATAAAAACAAAGTTCACTTTCCTACTATTTTCTCTCTCTACATATTTTTGTAATAAAAATTATTTTTAAAGTAGCTAAACACATATTTTAAAAGGAATTATTTATTAACTAATTGGAGTAGGAATTTAAACAATCCTGTATTGCCAACTCAGGTTTCCTAAACAAATTAACACATAACATGCATCTCCCCAAGGAATTTAATGCAGAATACCACAAACATGCCACTTTTTCTTTTCCAAATTGACCCTGAAGCACTCTCTTTTTCTCTCTCTCTCAGAAGTCTTCTGAATCTACGATTTAAATAGGACTTCAATTTATTGAAGGACTCATTGAAAAAAGAATTTGAATAAATCTCCTCTGATACATATCCCAAGAACATATACCTTATAATGTTTGTTCTCACATTATCAGAAAAGACTTAACGAAAATCTAAATCTTATCTGGTAAATATCACAAACGATTTCAAGGCAGAAGTTTATAATGACAAAAGAGAATTTACTTAAGAGATACTGTTTTAAAGTTTCAGACTCTAAAGGTGAGTTACATTGCTCTTAATGGAGTCTTAACAAAATGAGAAGTCCTAACAATATTAATAAATTTATTTTAATACCATATGCAAATCTCCAGAAGATATAACACGTTTGGGTCCTAGTAACTTGACAGCTACTAGTCTGAAATACAGTCATCCCTTGGTTTTGGTGGGGACTGGTTCCAGGATCCCTTTCAAATACCAAAATGTGCAGATGCTTAAGTCTCTTATATAAAAAGGCTTGGCATTTGCATATAACCTATGCAAATTCTTCCATATTCTTTAAGTCACCCTAGATTACTTATCATACCTAATATAATGCCCACACATCATCTCATTCATGTGCTTTCAATATAGTAGCTAGTGGATGGCAATTTAAGTTTTGCTTTTTGTAACTTTACGGCATGTTTTCCCCCAATGTTTTTGATCTACAGTTGGTTGAATCCGGGTATGCAGCACCCAAGGATATCAAGCATTAACTGTAATTAGTGAGCACCTGACTTGCATATGCTGACAAATAACTTGTTTCAAATTATTCATAGAACAATGGATCAACTGTTAGGCAACACTGTTACTTTTCACCAAATTTAGCGAATGATACTTACTGGCTTATATGCTGAGCATGATACTAGGCCTTGAGAAAACAATATGAGTAAGAAATAATCCCTTCCCTTGAGAAGTGCACACTTCCACTAGGGAGGCAGCTCTGGGACATAACTTCAAGCCCTGGTAAATATGATTACAGAGATGGAAATGGACAAAGTGCCATGTGAACGATGAGGACAAAATAACAGGGCAGAACAGTGAAACTTCAGTGGAGATGACTTCTGAGCTGATTTGTAAAGCAGGAGTATGTTAACCTTAAACTCAAGTGAAGCAGGATAGAATAGGGCATTCAAAATAGAGTGAGGCCACAGTCATGAAGGACCCGAAGCATTTGACAAATAATGTTGAGTCTGATTACATATTTTTTAGATTAGGAAATGTTCATAAATTATATGGAAAAAAAAGCCAAAAAACTTAGCCATATAATTCTTTGGATTTCTAGTCATTATTATTAGTAAAATAAAACCATCTAGTTAAGCAACATTCACAGATATACTTACTTATAATAGTGTTCCCAGAGATTTCTGTACCTTCCTTGACCTGACATGTCAAACACCGTAAATGATAAACTACGAAAAGAAGCAAAACATGACTACATTATAAACTAAAAGCATAACTTTTACTTAAAATTTAAAATTATTTACAATCAAAGAAATTAGCCTTCAAATACAATATTCAACATGGACCAATTTACAAATAAGAGTTATATGAAATAAATGTATTAATATAAATATGATTTTGCAATAAATAACATAAAACAGATGTTTTCTTTGCTAGTGAAGTTATCAGTTTGCCCAAACTCCAAATTCTGAAAAATAAATCAGCCATAGTGGTAGAAACATGTTAATACCTACGAGATTCTGAAATAACAAATGACTTTTCTCTAAGGGTAGGAAGAATGACCAGGCAGACCTAATACTGGTATTTTTCACTAGGAACTTTTTTGTCAAGCGATAAAGTGGATTACCTGGATGACTTGAATTTCTCGATGCTGAATCCTGTTGTTGGAATGATATCCTGAGATTGAGCCTTTAAGAGAAAAGACAAATTCAGAAATTTACAATGACAAGAGATGAGTTTTTCCTCAAGTTAGAGTATCCAGATTTTCAGTTTCTAAAATCTGTCACAATGGAGATTACAGGATTTAACAAAGCTATAATGTTTTCAATAAAATCACTGTGTGTGAATTCTTCATAGAAGTTTAGGGTTTACTAATTATGAATATGCATAATGTTAATTCACAGTTGTGGCTTGTGGCATGTTACCAAGGATATAAAGGTTTTATAAGCTGTTTAATAAGTCACCCTGAGTTCACTTGTAGGACTTTCTAATCTTTCAACACATACTTATTGAGTTTATATATGTTCCAGATTGCCCTCGTGTGCAGATGGCTCCTGCCTTCATGGAGTTTACAAGCTAGAAGAGGTAAATAACTCTTCTAGCTTGTAAAAAACTAAGCAACAATTGAACTAAGCAACAATTGAACACAATTAAAAACTAAGCAACAATTGAACACAATTTTGAGCAGAGATAAGTGTAAAAACAAATGATTTGGGGGTGGGAGGCAGGAGAAAGGGGCTGGAAGGTGGATGGAAGAAAGGAACGCAGGAAAAGTCTCTGAAGAGGTAACATCTGACCCAGGAGTGAATGACAGGAGGGAAAGAACTGTGACAAGTTATTGACAAAGAACATTCCAGTAGGAGAAATCTGTCAGTGCATGATCCTGAGGAAGGAAGGAACTTGCCACTGGGAAAATGCAGAAAGCCCGAATGTCCAGAGTGTATTGGTTAAGATAAAGAGTGAGGTAAAGTGGTTGAGGTAAGGGAGGTGAGGCATTGAAGGCAATGGTAGTAATTCTGTGTGGAGAAGAGATCAAAGGGGCCTAGAGTACAGCAAGAGACATGCTGACAAGTCCCACTGACAGTTGAAATGTGTTATACTAACAATCTAACTTGTTAAATGCCTCCTAGCACTTTCACCAGAAAAACTATTCCTTTGTTTAAATAAAAATATATCCACTTTCTCATCCAGATGCCTAGAAGTCAATGTTGATTCCTCCTTTCGCATTCTCTACCTAGTCATTCTCCAAGCTTTGCGGGTCTATCTCACTAACTTAGTTCAGACACTAATTACGTCTTGCTTTGAATTACTATACCAGCCTCCTAATTGCTCCTACTTGGCTCTGCTACCTTGGACAAACTACTTAATTTTCCTAAGCCTGGTTTTCTCACATGTGAAATATATTATTATTATTATCCTTAACTCAAAAAGTTATCATAAGTAAATGAGTTACTAGATATAGAATACTCAACAGAGTAAAGTCAACAAATTTCTGATATTATTATAATTACATGCTCACTGATTGCAGTCACATTCCTAATTCTTTTCATATTGTCATTATAACGTAAAAAAAATTCCCCTTCAGTTCATCTTGTTGCTTTTAAAAAAAAATAGTAGAGGGAAAAGTTTTGCCTTGCACTATTACATTCATTCTGGTAGTCTACTTCTGGGAAATTTAAATTCAAGGAAAGACAGAAGCTCAAAATACTTGGTCATCTATACAGTATAGCAATGCACTGGTAAAAAGCTCTCCAGAGCTGCCCTTGTTTTGCCTTTCTGAAGTTTATTTAGCTTTTTCCTTTTCCTTCCATTTGTTCCAAGACCTGATCTAGTTATTTTTCCAAAAATATATTTTTGTTTATGTTAGACAAAATTCATTTCCTGCTACTAAGATTCCCGCCTCATACCGTGGGCTTCCTTCATTTTAGAACGAACTTTGCAATAAGAAGTTTCCTAAGTTTAATGTTACCCAAACTTCATTATTTTGATTTTAGGGCATTAAATGTGTCAATCATGTGACAAAATTATCAGCTATTACTACGAAGATAAAGAATCCAATAACATAATAGGAAGCTAAACTTTAAAGAAGTCTTAAAAAATATATATTAAAATAGTAACCCTGTCTTCAATTAATTGTAATTAGAACATTTGCCTGGCCTCACCACAATCACCTAACTTCTTCACAAACTGTTTCCAGAGAAACTTGCTACTTTACTTGTAGAAATAAAATTCATAAGTTTTCTTTTCTTCTCATTACTTCAAAAGTTCTAGAAGAAAGTAATCAGAAAAAGAAACTTCACAAATTAATCAGGATAGAATAAGATATGTGAGCAATTGCTTCCAAAGTAAAGTGGAACTCATTTTCCTCTATGTATTCCAAAAGATAGTTTGCAACAGCAATCTCCCTCTGTTCGACCCAACAGCAAATACATTTGGTCATTCTGAAAACTGGACAAAAGAGTGTAGGAATTACAGTCAGCCCTCTGTATCTATAGCTTCTAAATCCACAGATTTAACCAAACTGAATTGAAAATAACAATTTTTTAAAAGGTAACAATACTATTTAACAATAAAAATATTACAAATGTGGAAATAAACACTATTTACATGGTATTTACATTGTGTTAGAGTATTGTTAGTAATCTAGAGATGATTTAAGGTATATGGGAGGATGTGCCTAAGCTATATGCAAATGCTACACCATTTTATGTAAGGGACTTGAGCATCCACAAGGATTTTGGCATCTGTAGGAGGGTGGAAGGGGTGGGTGGGAATGTGTGTCCCAGGACAAATCTCCTGTGGTTATTGTACTGGTTGAGTGGAACAAAACATTCTGAGACAGCCCAAGGACACACCAAGATAAACAGGAACAGAGTAAGATTTCTGAGAGAGATCCTGTTTGGTTAGTTTCATTAAGTCTGCCAAAAATTATATCCTTGGTGGTATCCATCGTAAACCCCTGACCAAAAATAAAAGTGGAAAAATCATACGTCAATCCATTCACTCAAAGTGCCAAGCATTATTCTATGTATTTGGGATTCTCTGCCGAACAAGAGAAAAATCTATGCTCTTTTATAACAGGAAAAATTGAATAAGCAAATTGTGAAGTGAATATGCAAGTCATCAACTAAACAATTTTAGATTGTTTTGAATATTAAGAATAAGGGTGGCCAGGCATGGTGGCTCACGCCTATAATTCCAGCACTTGGGGAGGCTGAAGCGAGTGGATCACCTGAGATCAGGAGTTAGAGACTGGCCTGGCCAACATGGTGAAACCCCATCTCTACTAAAAATACAAATATATTAGCGGGGTGTGGTGGTGTGCGCCTGTAATCTCAACTACTCTGTAGACTGAGGCAGGAGAATCGCTTGAGCCCGGGAGATGGAGGTTGCAATGAGCCAAGACTGCACACAGAGCGAGACCCTGTATTAAAAAAAAAAACCCTAAAAAAAACAAAACAAGAATAAGGGCAGCATCATCAAAATGAAGTAGTTGCAAGAAGCAATCTGGCTTTACTATCTCCCATAGAAAACCAAAAACAAATATCCAGTACTAAGATTAGCAATATCCCAAAACTCAACTCTTCAGGTGAGGTGATCCCCAGGGCAACAGACACGGGAAAAACTCTGAGCAGACATGAAAAGAAACAGACTTCTTGGAATCATGTTTCTTGACTGGAAAAATGATTGCGTCAGATAGCTACCTTTCCCACCACCTTGGGTTCTTCTGCAGGAAAACTGTTTTCCACCATAACCCACAGCACCCCGAGGGCTTGAAGGGAGAAAAATCCCTGAGGACAGCTAGTGACAACGAGAGGAAGTAGACTAGACACATCAGCCTCTGAAATCGTTCTTTTTCTTATGTCAGCCAAAGGAGATGCCATATTAGAGTGGCTGTTGAGCCTCCTGCTGTAGGAGGCATGTTCCATAGAACCCTCAGCCAGAATCTTAAATGGAGGAGGTTTTCTCTTTCTGACCACGCCCCACAATCCAGAATGGGAAGTTCTTTGAATATTTGTGAGATCTAAGACAAATCTGGCCTTAAGGCTATATATTTCATTCTGAAAAGAAGGCAGTGTCCTAAGGTAAAGGACCTTCCGTAGGTGAATTGTAAAGAAACTCTAAGCAAACATACCCAGCAGAAGTCAAAACAAACTAGAGAGTGAAGACTGGAAAATAAATAATCTTTCACTGTTAAGACAGGATGTGCATTCACAAGAAAAAACAGCCAACAGGGAACCATGATGTCCCTTAATGACACAGCAAGGAGCTAGTGACTAACCCTAATGAGATGGCAATGTGTGAGCACTCAGATCAAGAAGTAAAATAGAAAACTCCAAGATAACATAGGAAATTCATTCAAAAATTTATAGGATATATTCAAGAGAGAAACAATAATTTAAAAAAAAGCAAAGAGAAATCTTGGAACTAAGAAATACATGTGCTAACATGAAAAAATACATTGGAGGCTCTTAGCAAAATAAATCAAGCAGAATAATCAGTGAGCTCGAAGACAGGCTTTGGAAAATAAACAGAATAAAAATGCAAAATAAAAAGAAATGAAAATATGTACACAGCACAAAAAATAACCTCAAAAAAGCAAATCTAAGAATCATTGGTGTTCAAGAGGGAGGTTAGAAAGAATAAGGGATAGAAAGCTTATTCAAAGAAGAAATAACAAAAAATTTTCCAAGTTTAAAATAATGACATAAATATCCAGTTTCGGAAAGTTGAAATATCACCAAATAGATACAGCTCAAATGAGATTACCCAAAGCCATTCAATGATCCAACTCTCAAGGATAAAGGAAAGAGACGATGCTAAGAGCAGCAAGAGAAAAGAAGCGAATAACAGAAAGGAGTTCCAGTTTGCTTGGCAAGAGACTTCCCGGCAGAAACCACATATGCCACAGGGGTGTGAGACAGCACATTCAAAGTGCTGAAACGGAAAAAAACTTAAAAAAAAAAAAAAAGAATACTGGGCCCAGCAAATCTATCCTTCCAACATGAAAGACAGACAAAGTCTTTCCCAGGCAAACAACCGCGGAGGGAATTCATCGCCATCAAAACCATCTTGAAAGAAATGCTAAAGTGACTTTTTCAATCTTTATGAAAATGATGTTAACATGCAAAAAGAATATTTTAAGGTATAAAACCCACTGGTAAAAGTCAATGAAAAGACAAACTCAG